GAAGTGAGTACTGAGCAGCACTCGAGATGGGACAACACCAGTGACTTGAAGAGTACAACCATCGTGATGGGATCCCTGGATTTGAAAGTTCTGGTAACCCATCCTATCATTTTTCTGGCTGACGCAATATTTGCTTGGTTATGCTCCCTAAACGTTAGATCGTCGGACATCATTATTCCCAAATCCTTGATATGCTGTTTACCTATTATGGGCAGATTTGATTGTGCTTTGTTCCCTGTATTATGTTTCAGGTCCTCATTTTTGCCGTACCTGAGTACCTGGAATTTATCGCTGTTAAAATCATGTTTTTTCTGCTGCCCAATCGAAAACTTTGTTGATATTTGCTTGGAATTTTTCCATGTCTTCAGCAGAGGTAATTTTCATGCTGATTGTTGTGTCATCTGCAAAGGATGACACGATCCTGTGACTTGTATTTTTATCTATATCTGATATGAGAATAAGGAACAGTGGGATAACCCAATGATTAATAACCCAATGAGTGGGATTGGGTGGTTATAGAATAGGAGCTGCCTCGTATGGGCCAATAGGCCTTCTGCAGTTACCTTTGTTCTTATGTTCTTATGTTCTAACAGCAGTGGTGCAAGGACTGTACCTTGAGGTACAGAGCTTTTTAACTGCGCTTGGACTTGATTTTATTTGATTGACTGTTACTCTTTGTGTTCTTTTCAACAGGAAATTAAGTATCCAGCGTCCTACTTTACCAGCTATTCCCATTGACCTCATTTTGTGTGCAATCACTCCAGGATCACATTTGTCGAATGCCTTTGCAAAGTCTGTGAATACTACATCTGCATTTTGCTTTTCTTCTAGAGCTTCTGTGATTTTGTCATAGTGGTTGAGTAACTGTGACAGACAGTATCTTCCCGCTCTAAATCCAAGATGTCCTGGGTTGTGTAACTCATTAGTTACCATAAAACTAGAATTTTGATTCCTAATCACTCTTTCAAAAACTTTTATTATGTGTGATGTTAGTGCAACTTGCCTATAATTTTTTGCCAAGGCTTTACTCCTCCCCTTGTGCAAAGGAACTATATCTGCAGATTTAAGTGCTGCTGGTATCTCCTCTGTATCTAGGCTCTTTATCCATATTATGCTGAGTGCTCGCGCTACTGGTACTTAACATTTATTTATGAATATTGAATCCCATGATTCAAGCCCAGGAGCTGAGTGCATGGGCATATTGTCAATGTCTCTTTCAAAGTCTTCCGAGTTCGTGTTAATATCCGTTATATTATCTGCAGCTTGAATATCATTCATAAAGAAGTTGTCTGGGTCATCAACTTTCATGTTGTTTATTGGTGTGCTAAACATAGCCTCATACTGGCTTCTTAGAATTTCACTAATCTCTTTGTTGTCCTCTGTGTACGTACCTTCAGTTGTAATTAAAGGTCCAATACTAGTGGTGTTTTTTTATTTTGATTTTGCATATGTGAAAATAATATTTTGGATTTTTCTTTATCTCTTGTATAGGTTTCTGTTCCAATTCCATTTACTCAGCCTTGTATGATCGCTTCAACGTTTGTTCTATTTCTTCGATCTCCCTGTTTAGGTTTATTTTCCTTGCTTGTGATAGTCGTGTCTGCCTAAGCATTTCCGTTATTTTTTCCTTCTCCTGTACAGTCGTCTGCGTTCTCTTTCTAAAGTGGTCCTCTCTCTGACCCTCCTCACAGGCACGTGCTTCAGTCAGACCTTGTATGCTTCAGCTGTAAGAACATAAAAACAAAGGCAACTGCAGAAGGCCTATTGGCCCACACGAGGCAGCTCCTATTTATAACCACCCAATCCCACTCATATACTTGTCCAACCCGCGTTTAAAACAATCGAGGGACCCCACCTCCAGCACGTTACGCGGTAATTGGTTCCACAAATCAACAACCCAGTTACTGAACCAGTATTTACCCAAGTCTTCCCTAAATCTAAACTTATCCAATTTATACCCATTGTTTGGTGTTCTGTCTTGTGTTGATACTTTTAATACCCTATTAATATCCCCTTTGTTATGTCCATTCATCCACTTGTAAACCTCTATCATGTCGCCCCTAACTCTTCGCCTTTCCAGTGAATGCAACTTAAGCTTTGTTAATCTAACTTCATATGAAAGATTTCTAATGTGGGGAATTAACTTAGTCATCCTACGCTGGACACGTTCAAGTGAATTTATATCCATTCTATAATATGGCGACCAAAACTGAACTGCATAATCTAAATGGAGCCTAACTAGAGCAAGATATAGCTTGAGAACCACACCAGGTGTCTTGTCACTAACGCTGCGATTAATAAATCCAAGTGTCCGATTTGCCTTATTACGAACATTTATGCATTGATCCTTTTGTTTTAAATTCTTACTAATCATAACTCCCAGATCCCTTTCGCAATCCGACTTCGCAATCTCAACACCATCTAGCTCGTATCTTGTAACTCTATCATCATTACCTAACCTCAGAACTTTACATTTATCAGCATTAAACCGCATCTGCCAATCCTTTGACCATTTCAAAACCCTATCTAGATCAACTTGAAGTGATAGTGAGTCTTCCTCCGAATTAATTTCCCTACCGATTTTCGTATCATCGGCAAATTTGCAAATGTTGCTACTCAAACCTGAATCTAAATCATTTATATATATTATAAACAACAGAGGTCCCAGGACAGAGCCTTGAGGCACTCCACTTACAACATTTTCCCACTCTGACTTGATTCCATTTATGCTAACTCTCTGTTTCCTTTGGTATAGCCATGCCCTAATCCAGCTTAATATAGCACTCCCAATACCATGAGACTCTATCTTTTTAATCAGTCTTTCATGTGGCACTGTATCAAAAGCTTTGCTAAAGTCAAGGTACACAACATCACACTCCTTACCACTATCAACTGCCTCAACTATGCTAGAATAAAAAGATAACAAATTTGTTAAACTTGAACAGCCATTTATAAAACCATGTTGCGATTCAATTATTAATTTATGTTTTTCAAGATGAAGACGAATTTTATTTGCTATTATAGATTCGAGTAACTTTCCCACAATAGACGTTAGGCTAATTGGTCGATAGTTAGACGCAAGTGATCTATCTCCTTTCTTAAAAACTGGTACCACATTAGCAACTTTCCAAAACTCTGGCACTCTGCCAGACTCTATTGATTTATTAAATATGGTTGACAGTGGGTCACAAAGCTCCTCTTTGCATTCTTTAAGCACCCTGGCAAACACTGTCAGTCGATATATTCCCTGTGTAGGAGTTTTGTTGCTTAAGACCGTCTCCAATTGCATGGTTGCAAGATCTACATTTATTTTTTCCCAGTCGATTCTCTTATTGTTGAAATTGAATTGATTGAATATTCATTCTCGCTTTTTGGGTCTCTTAGACCTACTACCGTTATTTATGCTAGTGCGCACTTCAATGAGCTTATGGTTTGAGTATGTAGTATCAGAGATTGTAATGTCTCTGATTATTGTCAGTTCATCATTGTTTGTGAATAGCAAGTCTAGTGTGTTTTCGTTCCTAGTTGGATCTGTGATTTGTTGATTGAGCGAGAATTTGTCACAGAATCTCAAAAGTTCTCTGACCTGTGGTTGGTTATTTCCCGGCTCATTCCCTGCTATGATATTTGTGTTCACCATTCTCCATCTTAGACCTGGTGAATTGAAATCTCCAAGGAAGATAATATCTGGTGCTGGGTTCGCTAGATAATCATGGATGTTCTCTTTTTTGTGCATCTGCTCTAATGCGATCAATGTCATAGAATTCGAACCTAGGAGATCAGAGTCATCCCATTGGCTATCTAGTCAACTGGTTCTCTAGAGTTGTCACAACGTAATCAAAATGATGTATTAAATTGACTAAACCTAATCTAACCATTGACTCGTGAATATAAAATACGACAGTCTATAAATTCTGCGAGAAGCTATGATGTATGGTACATCATATCACTTTCGCCCGGACATGACGCAGCTTTGCGTCATCCGTTTACTGTCGGTAATGCCGGGGATGACGCAGAGTTGCGTCATCCACTTTAAATAATCGCCAAAAATCAGGTTTTTATCCGATTTTTTTTGGACTGATTTTAAAATGCGCGCCGATGTCTTCCCATTTTCTTTGTTGAGCCTCGTGGTCCTCAGGCGGCTTGGCACACGCCGTGGGCCCATTGTTTTCGCTCCACTGTTGTGACCAATGTCGCCTCCCCTCGCATCTCAAACGTGTGAACATTTCGGCTATTTTCCGTGGCTATATTTCTTACTGTTGCTTTAGAAACTATCTACGCTTACTCCACGATGGATAGTGATCATGAACAAGGCCCTTCCAGGAAGAAAATTGCGAAAGAAAGACTTGAAAAGGGCGGGAATTGGGAGTGTAGCTGGAAGGCGTCTGAGCACTCACTTGCGGCTAACGCGTGGCCCGTCTTTAACTCGTCGGCGGTTGGAGCGTGACCAGGTTTTTTTTATTTTATATGCTAATGTTCCTCTAGAGAATTCTATTGCAAATCCATTGAGACCTAAATGAAAGACCTAGGACGAAAATTGAGGTGACCAGAGTGAAAATAGTGAAAACATTTTATCACGTTTGCGCGCTCCTGGGTAACTCGTTCGCACTTTCTCTGTTTGCTGCGGGTAATTAGCCGGGCTTTTGGAGTTCATATGCATTTAGTGCTGTAGATAATTCTATTGCGAACACAATGATACAAAATTTAATCTCGTAGGACGAGAATTAAGGTGACAAAGTTGAAGAGAGTATACACTTTTCAGAATTTACGCGTGCTCCCGTGACACCCTGGGTCCCATATCGCACAGTTGAGGGGTGAGGGGTGGCGCGCGGTGTACGCCAAAGTGATATGATGGCTGTTGGAAATTTATGTCAAAGTGATATGTATTATTAGAGAGGACAGGTTGATCTAGCACCAAAACCACTAGACCAGAAGTTACCTAAAGTATAGTTGCACAAAAATAAACATATGTGAACATAGTTGTTAACATTATCACTCACCTGGAGAACTTGTGAGGGAAGAGTGGGAGGCGGGAGGTGAGGAGGATGCCCCGTCGCGGCCTCCACGAGGCTACCAACAACGGTTCCGTTCCCTCATGTCTGAACGGTAAGTGTACATACACTTTGCACCTGTGAGGAGACTGCTTAGTAGTTCCTTCTTCAACATGTGTTGGTTATTGTATATATTTTTTTCTCCAGTCATGTAAATAACTCCCAACTTATGATTATAGGTTATTCCCAGCAAATACAAAACGTATTTTTAACGCTTTTACGTTGGTGTAAAAAAGTCACACAAACTATTTATATAAAGTCATTTTGTAACGTTTTAATAATCAAAAGACAATATTTAAAAGCAAGAATTTTATAAAATTTTATAAATCTAAATAAATATTTCGTCTAATTTTGTCAAATTTTTTTAACATGTTAGTCAGCATTTTGTCTAATTAAATATTTACAATAATTGAGACATTTTGTCTAATTAATTAATTACAATAATTTGAACATTAGCAGCGGTTTATATAATTTAGATCCATTTTTGATAGATCAATTAAAGGGCGATTTGAGTAGAATCATTATTACACATTTATCTCACTAATTCATTGTAAATATTTACTATCTTATGCTAGTATTATCCATGTGTGGGCCTATTGGTGGGTTTAAATAGGAGCTGCCTTGTATGGGCCAACGTCTTGACAAGTCCATAGAGATATGGTAATGAAGGAAGTAGCTTGAGGAAGTTGTTAAGTAAACGTAAAGATCTTCTTAATCAATTTACTACTTCATCACCTTCATTATCATATCTCTATGGACTTGTCAAGACGCATAAACCTAACAATCCCATGAGTCCTATCATCAGTTCTGTGGGATCCATTTTTTACAAGCTTTCTAAATGGCTTACAAAAATCTTGTCCCCTTTGTTAGTAACTATTTACTCTTCTCATTTGACCAATTCTCTTGAATTAGTTAACAAATTGAATAGTGTTCTTGTCACTCCTGATGTAAAGTTAATCAGTTTTGACGTTTGTTCCTTGTTAAACAAAGGTACCGGTTGATGATATTCTTGATTATCTTGCTCTTGAACTAATGAATCATGTTTTCTTCTGTTGTAAACATGATTCATGAATCCTTCTGATGTAAACGCAGGCGAATTTGTAGCCAAAATTAATAATCAAGTAACCTCTATAAAATTTACTATGGAGACTGAAATTGATAAATGTTTGCCATTCCTAGATGTACTTATTCATAGGGAACATTTTTCACTAAAGTTTAGTGTCTACATAAAACCTACGAATAATTTATCTTATGTTCATTATTTTTCAGGGCATAGATACAATGTGAAAAAATCAAATTTTTCTTCAATGTATCTAAGAGCTCTTCGGGTTGTGAGACCAGAATTCTTAGATGAAGAGTTTAAGAATATTGATTCTATTGGTGTCAAACTCTGCTACCCACTGAGTTTTTTGGAAGTTTGCCGTAGCAAAGCACGTCGTACATATCTTAATAATATATGCAGTGAAAAAATTCGCTCAAAGAATGTGTTATGTTTACCATATTTCTCTGGGTTTGAGAATATTATCAAGGCCTTGAAACTTTTTGATATACATGTATTGTTTAGCTACGAAAATACTGTTGCTAAGCTACTAGTTAGAAACAGCCCTCGTAGTGATAATTGTGTCATTTATAAAATACCTTGTCTAGATTGTAATAAGTTCTATGTTGGGCAAACATCTAATGATTTTAAATGTAGAATTTCGCAACATAAATACTCTGTAAGACATGGCCAATTGTCTAATGCTTTGTGTGTTCATACGGGATAAATGGGGGGGGGGGACGAAGCACATACAAAGATTAATCAGGTGAAATAGGCCTGTTATGTTGAACAGTGTCTTCTGTGTTGGGCATATATATATATATATATATACATATATATATATATATATATATATATATATATATATATATATATATATATATATATATATATATATATATATATATATACATAAGGGCACCTTAATCCGCTTGACCATCACGACCGGACATAAGGAAGTGATAGCCGAAGCTATTTGAACCACTTCCCCGCTGGCACTCGGATGGTAATCTTGGGCATAGCATTTCATCAAATCACCTCATTCTTTGGGGCACATGTGAGGAACACAAATGCAAACAAGCCTGAATGGTCCCCAGAACTATATACAACTGAAAACTCACACCCCAGAAGTGACTCGAACCCATACTGCCAGGAGCAACGCAACTGGTATGTACAGGGACGCCTTAATCCGCTTGACCATCACGACCGGACATAAGGAAGTGATAGCCGAAGCTATTTGAACCACTTCCCCGCCGGCACTCGGATGGTAATCTTGGGCATAGCATTTTATCAAATCACCTCATTCTTTGGGGCACACGTGAGGAACACAAATGCAAACAAGCCTGAATGGTCCCCAGGACTATATACAACTGAAAACTCACACCCCAGAAGTGACTCGAACCCATACTGCCAGGAGCAACGCAACTGGTATGTACAGGGACGCCTTAATCCGCTTGACCATCACGACCGGACATAAGGAAGTGATAGCCGAAGCTATTTGAACCACTTCCCCGCTGGCACTCGGATGGTAATCTTGGGCATAGCATTTTATCAAATCACCTCATTCTCTGGGGCACATGTGAGGAACACAAATGCAAACAAGCCTGAATGGTCCCCAGAACTATATACAACTGAAAACTCACACCCCAGAAGTGACTCGAACCCATACTGCCAGGAGCAACGCAACTGGTATGTACAGGGACGCCTTAATCCGCTTGACCATCACGACCGGACATAAGGAAGTGATAGCGGAAGCTATTTGAACCACTTCCCCGCCGGCACTCGGATGGTAATCTTGGGCATAGCATTTTATCAAATCACCTCATTCTTTGGGGACCTGGGGACCATTCAGGCTTGTTTGCATTTGTGTTCCTCACGTGTGCCCCAAAGAATGAGGTGATTTGATAAAATGCTATGCCCAAGATTACCATCCGAGTGCCAGCGGGGAAGTGGTTCAAATAGCTTCGGCTATCAGCTATCATGGCCCGGAAAGTAGAGTTGGAAATTCTGTTGGACGACATATTCGACCTCGAGACACAAAAGAAGGTCACTACCAAAGATACCTTACAAGCAGAAATTATTGCAGAAGGAGGAAAGAATCGAGGCAACTACAGAAGCACCATACTGTCCCCCGAGCTTAAAGCGGCAGCTAAAAGCCTTCGTGAGAACAAGGAGATAGTTGTCAGGAGAGGTGACAAGTCGCCAATATATGTCATTCTTAAAAAAGACGAATATCTGGCGAAAATGAACATCATACTCTCTGACCAAACTAAGTTCCAAAGGGTAACGAAGGACACTACAGCCGAATTAAAAGCAAAGGTCAACAAACTGATCGAAACTGTGAACGCCAAGAAATCCGGACTCCACCTGCCAAAGATCATTGGGGAATATAAACCTGGATATGCGTATGGAAATGTCAAGACGCACAAGCCTGGAAACCCACTTCGGCCAATCATTAGCCAGATACCCACACCCACGTACAGACTGGCGAAGCGACTCAACGGCCTGCTGACTCCTTATGTTCCTTGCGCCTTCAGCCTGAAGTCTCCAAAGGAATTTGTGGACTTACTGCGGGGCACACGGGCCACAGGGATAAGAGCCTCGTTGGACGTAGAATCGCTGTTTACCAACGTACCTGTGGACGAGACAATCGGAATGATAGCCGACAGAGTGTATCGTGATCCAGCCTGTACTCCTCTTGACATGCCAGAAAGTATTCTGAGGAAACTACTCCAAGCTTGTACTAAAGAGGCACCCTTCTTGAGCCCGGATGGGCACATGTATAAGCAAGTAGATGGGGTCGCCATGGGTTCTCCCCTAGGTGTCCTGTTTGCAAACTTCTACATGGGTACCATCGAGCAAAAAGTCTTAGTCGACATGAACTTGAAACCGGCCATATACTGCAGGTATGTTGACGACATTTTTACACAGGTACCTGATGTCAGACATCTGCAGGAGCTGAAGGAGGCATTTGAGCAGAGTTCCGTGCTGCGTTTCACTTACGAGACGGAAAAGGATGGGAGGCTGCCTTTTCTAGATGTAACAGTCATGGAAAAGGGCGGAGGTTTCCACACTGCAGTCTACACTAAGGAAACAAACATAGGAATGTGCCTAAATGCCAACAGCGACTGCCCTGACAGGTACAAGAGGAGTGTTGTTAACGCATACGTCGACCGTGCTCTCAGCCACAGCTCAGAATGGAAGCAAGTCGACGAAGAACTCTGTAGGGTAAGGCAGGTCCTAGTCAATAACGGCTTCTCCAATGGTTTCATCGAAGACATCATAAAAAGGAAAGTGAAAAGCCATGCAACCTCTGAAGAGACAACTAACACAACACCTATACCCCCTATTAGACTATTTTACAGGAACTTCTTTTCCACAGCTCATAAAACGGAGGAAAGGGTCCTGAAAGATATTGTTAATAGAAACGTTATCCCTACAGACAAAAATCAGAGGATACAACTGACGATTTACTATAAAACCAGAAAAACGGCCAGCCTACTCATGAGAAACTCTCCAGACACAAAACAGAACGCTTTTAAAGAGACTAACGTCGTCTATGCCTTCAAATGCCCACTTGGGGACTGTAAGCTCCAAAAAACCCAGTATATAGGCAAGACAACAACATCTCTTTCTAGGCGTTTAACGATGCATAAGCAACAGGGCTCCATTAAGGAACATATAATCTCTTCCCATAACCAAACCATCGCCAGAGAAATCCTAGTAAACAACACAGAAATCATCGATAGATACAGCGATAGCAGGCGGCTTGACGTTTGCGAGGCACTACACATCAAGAAGTCAACACCAGCAATCAACAGCCAATTATTGCACAACTATATTCTACCCACCTCAAGACTCCGCTCCAAATAGAAGCATCAAGAAATATGGACCAATAGGCTTTCTACAAACACTTCTATTCAATACCCATTGTTTCTGTTCTGTCTTGTGTTGATACTTTTAATTCCCTATTAATATCCCCTCTTGTTCTGTCTTGTGTTAATGCCACATCACCCCTCCCACCTCACTCAAATGTAGA